GTTGAACGGAGAGAGTGTGCATGATAAGACAACGATCGCTGCGCACAGCGGCACTTGGCTTTGATCTGCGGTCAACGGTTGGCCTCCGCTGGATACATCATTTCCTAGAAATACTGCTATGCGCTCACGTGAGATCTGCCTTGACCACGAGCTGATCCAGCAGTGGCTTGTATCGAAGTGTCTCGCTCACCATGGCGTACAGCTTCCTGCTTGCACAGCACGCACGGAGCAAGATAGCAGCAATAGAGAACAGAGCACAGAAGCAGAATTGTCAGAGCACGGGACTGTCAGTTTTTTTTTTGTCTCCACCTCGACGTGTAGCATGTAGCAATCGACGCCAGGGGTACAGCAACATCTAGGCAGCAACCTGGTGGAGTTCAGCCACGGCAGCGTTGGACCGCGTGCTCTGTTCAAAGCACGCCCCAGTCCAGTGTCGCACCGCACACACATATTGCCGCCTCCTGCCGCCTCACACCCCACATTCACCTACCTCTTGGGCCCATTTTCGTCACCTCCTTTCCCGCCCCCAACGCTGTTGGCCCTGCCCAGCGTGAGCGTCTTCAGGCTCGCCTTGCCGCTCTCTACCCCTTGGAGGACCCTGCCAGCCTCGCGGTACAGGAAGGACATGTGCTGGTGTTCGAAAAGCTGGAGAGTCTCGGAGGTTGCGTTGGCGAGCGGCGGGGAGCGGAGAGGCGAGGAGCCAGAAAAGTGACAGTGCCAAAGAAAGCCATAACATTTCACGTGCAACCCCCCGAAGAACATTCCGCCTTCCGCCCCCGACGTCTGCCAATCTCCATTGCGCCAGGAACAAACTCCTCATCTGTAGGCAGCAGTTGGCGTGGGGATACGGGGAGCCATGGTGTTCGAGTGGGCCAAAGCGGATGTCCCGACGCTGCTGATGGGCGTGATATTTTGCGCGTTGATGTGGCCGCAACTCATGCAAGTATCTGCTTTTTTGCGACAATCGGTGAATCGGGCAACCGCTCAGGAACGAGAGAGAACGGCCGCGCTACAGGCCCTACGTAAGAGGTAAGAGTGCTGCGTCCGTCTTGGTCCAAGGTTGGCACAGAGGCGCTTTGGCGTTGCTGCGGCGGCAACAAGCCAGTTCGGCACCGATCAGGAGGCAGAAGAGAGGCGAGAGTTTTCGTCTTATTAGACTTTGCCGCACCTGCTTGCCACTGCTGTGCTTATCTTTGTCCGCGCTTGAATATTCCGCAACCACTGCACTGCGCTGCTATGTGGATCGCTAAATGCCCTGCCGGTGCCAGGAAAGAAGTGGAAACCCAACGGGAAGGAGAACATGCAACCGCGGCAGGTCGTAGAACCGGCGCCACCACCTCCACCGCCTCCACCGCAACACGTGCGGAGAAAGCGATCCTGCCACAACCACAGCCGAGGAGGGTCAAGGGCGCCCCCTCATCACAATCACCATCACCATCCCCATCTCCGGAGATCCTCCCGCTGACCTCGCTGGGAGAGCTTCTGAGCTACGAGGGGCCCGGGTGGGGCCAGGGGTTCGCTCCTGCTCGCCCCCTGCCTTTCGTCGCTGCCCCATTCCCCCCCTTGAAGAGCAGGCTGTTGGTGTGCCACGATCTTGCGGGGGGTTACGGGCAGGACAGGTTGGTCCAGGGCGGGGGATACGACCGGCCGTATCGGGCGTACGACTGGGGCCTGATCGACATCTTCGTGTACTTCAGGTGGGTTTGTCGTACGTGTTTGCATAAGAGGTTGCACGTGTTCTCGTAGTTTCAGTTTTCAAGAGGTGTGATGCATCTCCGACACGTAGATACGTCGAGCTCCTGGAGCTGTCTGGGATCCCGCCGCATGTGTGCGTGTTGGGTTTCGTTCTTGAGGCCGAGGGGCACACACCCATACTCCACATTTGCATCATGGATCTTTGTCCCTCACGTGAAGAATCCGACCCTTACTCGATCTTGCTCCTGCAATATCCCGAACCCAACTACACCTGGTCTATGTACGCATCATGCAGCCACAACTTGGTGACGATCCCAACGGCGGGCTGGATCGACGTGGCCCACAGGCACGGCACGCGGGTGCTCGGGACCTTCATCACCGAGTGGGACAAGGGCTACGACGTGTGTGAGTTATTTTCGTTCAAGCGATGCATTGTTATGTTTGCGGAAAAAGTTCAACAGACTCCATCGGTGGGGCAGGCCGTAGGCTCGTGTGCCCACGGTTTTGGTCCATCAACTTCCGAGATGTGACATACGGATCCACGCACTGCGGTCGGGGGTGCGGGTACGCTGTCCACGCGAACATCTCATGGTTCGTTCTCCGTAGGCGTAGATACCGTAGATACCGTAGATACGGACATGGGCACCCCAACGACGTCGTGGACACAAGGGTGTTCGCTCGCGTCAAGCACGCCAAATGATGCACCTGTGTGCGCACCAACGGGTTCACAAAAATGGGCAGCGTGTTTGCCCGGAGCGGAAGAAGCTTCCCGCATGTGCCCACGCTATGATACAATAGCACAGCAATCAAAAACGTGCGGAGGTCATGTACATGTACATGGCCGGGCCGAAGCTCTGATCCAGGTGGCCGGCCACCCATGACCCACGCCAAGCCAACGAGATAAGATGGGCCCCTCGGACGGCTTGACTTCTTCTTGAGCAAACGACGGCACCCAAGACGGCATCTCAGCACGAAAGAAACGTTCCTCTGCGGCGGACCACCACACCCGCCATGTGTGTGCGTACCATACACCACATCCGCGGGAGTGCCCACCACATGGGTGTCCCTCTTTCCTGACCACCGCTGCTGCAAAACCATTATATGCCCCCCTATTTTGCTGCTGTCGCTGCTGCTGCTGCTTTTGTGCCGATGAATGCGTGTGGCGTACACACGCTCGCGCGCCCGCACGCCGCGCGGGCAGGCGAGAAGCTGCTGCGGTCCGAAGAGACCGCCGACCGAGCAGCTGCGAAGCTGACGCAGATCGCGGTCGACCACGGCTTCGACGGCTGGCTGATCAACATCGAGAACAAGGTCGACCCGGGCGAGCGCGTCGACGTCCTCGCGCACTTCCTCAGGAGCCTCACGGCCCAGATGCGCGCGGCCACCCTGTCTGGCAGCACTAGTGTTGGCGGGGGCTCATCACCTTCAACAGCAGCGCCGGTGATGTCCGGTGGGGGCCCAGAGGATGGGAAACCTGGCACCGCCGGTACCGCCGGTGGGCACAGCAGGTCGACAGTGCTGTGGTACGACAGCGTCACAGCGGAGGGGAAGCTGGAGTGGCAGGATTGCCTCAACGGAGAGAACCGCGTCTTCTTCGACGCCTGCGACGGGATCTTCTCCAACTACGCCTGGAAGGCCGACTACCCGTCCGCCTCCGCGCTGGAGGCCCAGGCGAGGCGGTGCGTACAACCACGGCGTTGGCCTTTAGCTTGATGAGGTCTTCTTTGCCGGAGAGGTAGAATTTACGATGCTTGGTTTGTGTGCAAAACGGCCGTCGCAGACCCTCGGTGCCCCACCTCTCATTTTTTTTAGTTAGAGCATTTGCCCACCTCCGCAGTAAGTAGCACACGGTTAGGATCATTTTTGTCAGGGGCGGGATGACATGACCTTGTGAGCTTGTACGTCGGTATGGTTTGCCTCCAAACCTCGCGGAAAATCCGACAACAGCACAAAATGCTAGCTCAGACGGTTAGCACTACCTGTCGATGTGCGTGCCATTTATGTTTTTTGCCTTCCGAAGCTACGACGTGTACATGGGCGTCGACACCTTCGGCCGCGGGACATGGGGTGGCGGTGGCTTCGACGTGGACAAGGCTCTGGGTAAGATCAGGAGGGCCGGAGTTTCCGCGGCGCTCTTCGCGCCTGCCTGGACGATGGAGGAAGAGACCACAGGTGTGAACGTTTCTTGCAAATGTGCGATCTTATCTATTCTACCAAGGTAGCCCACGGTACAACGGCAGTTCACCGTCAGAATCTCGAGCGAGCTAAGCCGTGCGTCGTGAGTAGTCAGGAGAGGGTGCTGATCAGGTGTGTGTTGGTCTTACCCAGCCATGATTCGAGCTATCGGGTGTAGCACTTCTCTTGACTGTGTTCCCACTTGTTTTAACCAGCCGGGTAAAGCTGCCTTCTACCCGTCTCTCTTGCTTTTTGTTGCGCTTAGCCCTGGGCGTCGTACGTCAGCTTGCACCCCTTTGAGGTGGAACGCGTCTTTTCGAAAAGAAACAACAGAATTAATACTGCTCACTCATACCTGCTTTTAGCAAGCCTATGGTGTCTGTGCGTTTCCCCCCCGCGTCGTGTCCCTCCCCCTCCCCCCGTCATCGTAGGCGGTGGACAGGTAGACCCAGACCCCGGGCGAGGAGGGTGGCAAAAAGTCGAGCAGGAGTTCAGCGAAATCGACTCCAAGTTCTGGAGCAAGATTGCGGCGGTGTGGCAGCCGCCGAGAAGCTTGCCGGGGGGGGGGGGGGGGGGGGGTCCG